CCTTGAACATCTATTGTAATACTATAAGAAAAGGATTGACAGTGGTGGGAATCTATGGGGCAGGGACAGGGAGGGCAAGGGTGGTGGGATTAATGGTAATCAATAACTGTCTGGGGCTGGGGGGACACCCCTTATCAACAAGGGTGCCTGAACGATGCATATTTGTATACCTAACCCTTAAATGTACCCCACAATTTTAAAATAAAAAACATGTTTAAAAAAAATTTTTAAAAAGAGATAAAATCAAAGTGACTGAGTACAGTTTGTCAAGCAGGGAAGGCAGGGAAAAGAGGTTCCAGGCAGCAGCAGCAATAACATGTGCAAAGGCTCAGATGATAGCTCAGGATAAGGGTGTGTTTGGAGAAATTGAATGGTCCAGGGACCCTGCCTGTCAGCTCCACCTTAATGTTCACTAGCAGGGTAGCCACGAGTTTCTGGGTACGGAGAAAAAGACTCTTGCTTCACCTCTTCCATCTTTGAGAAAAATCCCCTTTCAGGTACAGGAAGAAAAAGAGAAGGCTTGGAGGAAATGCCCAAGGGCACTGTAGACATGAGGTGCTGACACATCATTGCCCTGGAGAACAGCAGTAGGTGGACACACAGCCCTCATCTCCTCTGGAGTGAATGGAGTTGGGGAAGCCGCCCCAGGCAGAGGGAAAAGCGGGCAGTCAAGAAGCACAGAGGAGGAAAATTGGTACAAATGCGGATTATTTAGCATATTGGTCCCCAGGAAGCTTAGTTGATAGAAAGTTTGATAGAGCGTGGGCTTCACTCAGGTCCTGTCTTACAGTTCTCGAAATTTTCTGAAACAAAATCTTACCACTGAGGGAGAAGTCCACGCTGGATGCTCCAAATATGATACTCTCTTTGGAATAGATGGCGACCTCCCTATCTGCTCGCAGGTCATAGAGGCGACACTGGGGTGCAGATAAACAAAGAAGTACTTACTTTTGGCTCCAGTCTAGTGATATGATGACCACAGAGCTACAGGCAGGTGCCAGTGCCAGTGTGGTTTGAGGAATAAGGGAGAAAACGCTTTAGTTTTTCTCTCCTATTATTTCATCCCTCAGTCCTGATTCCTATTAATCTCTATGAGTCAGTGGAGATTCAAAGAAACAGTAAATACAGAAAATTTCTTCAGACACAAAACCAAAAATGAGACCCCATTTTTTTTTCTGATAAAGGACATAGGCTTATTGTCGAAAATTTGGAAATATTCAGAAATGCACAAGGAAGGAAATGGAAGTCATCTCAAATCCTAGAGATATTTGCTAATTAATGTCTGGCCTGTTTCCTGCAGTCTTATTTCTCTTTTATGAATGTATTTAAATGGGGTGGATGTTTCACTACTGCTGCTATTAACATTAGATAGGAGCATTTTCCCATATCATTAAAAAATAATCTTCAAGAGTTGGGCTCGGTGGCTCAGCCTGTATAATCCCATGCTTTGGGAGGCTGAGGTGAGTGGATTGCCTGAGCCTGTGGGTTCGAGACCCGCCTGGGCAACTTGGCGAGACCTCATCTCTACAATAAATCAAAAAACTAGCCGGGTGTGGTAGCGTGCTCTTGTAGTTCTAGCTACTTGGAAGGTTGAGGCAGAAGGATTGCCGGAGCCCAGCAGGTTGAGGCTGCGGTGGCCGGGAGCGGCCACGGCACTCCAGTCTGGGCGACAGAGTGAGACTCCAACTAAAAAAAAAAAAAATCTTCAAAAAAGATCGTTTACATGGTTGTTGAATATTCCTTGGGTGGGTATATCAGAATCTATCTAGCCATACCCTGTTAAGTATTTTGATTATGTCTAATTTTTCTCTTTTATAACTAATGTTATAATGACTGTTCATATGAAAAATCTTTATATGTGTCTTTGATATTTTCCTTAGAATAGTTAAGGAATAGAATCCTTAGAACAGAATTGTTTCCAAGAAATAAGCAAAACCCAGTCAAAGGGTATAGATGTTTTAAAAGCTCTGGAGGCCAGGTGCGGTGGCTCACACATATAATCCTAGCACCATGGGAAGCCGAGGTGAGAGGATTGCCTGAGCCCACAGGTTCAAGACCAGCCTGGGCAACTTGGCGAGACCTCATCTCTACAATAAATCAAAAAATTAGCCAGGCATAATGGCATGTGCCTGTAGTTCCAGTTTCTTGGAAGGCTGAGGTGGAAGGATCACCTGAGCCCAGCAGGTTGAGGCTGCAGTGGCTGTGAACGTGCCACTGCACTCCAGCCTGGGCAGCAGAGTGAGATGCCAATTCAAAAAAAAAAAAGCTCTGGATCTATGTGGCAAATCTGTCTTCTAGAAAGGTGGTGCCAACAACCTTGACCCCAGCCTTGTCCAGAGTCCCTCATCAACTTTACCCCTGGGCATTCCTTTGCTACTCCAATGGGCAAAATGGACATCTGATCATTTAAACTTGCATTTCTTTGATTACAAGTGACTTTGAAAATATTTCCAGGTGTTTATGTTTGCCATTTTAGATTTACTGCTTTGTAAATGGTTTTCTCTTCTTTTTTTATTGGAATGTTCATCTTATTAATTATGCAATCTCATTAAAATCTACAGGATTTCAACTTGGTCTTTTGTTTATGTTGCAAGAATTTTTCCCAAATATATTTCCTTATATTTTGTTATATATCTTTGATATACTGAAGTTTTAAATTTTCATTACAATAAAAACTTTTTCTAGGTGAGATGGGACTTAAAAAACAACAACAATAAAAAAAAAAAAAAAAAAAAACCCCTCTCAATCTATTCCTTTGTAATTCCTTCCACAGCATCAAATCAGAATGAAAATCATTATTTAATAAAACATTTGGTATTTTGAAGGCAATAAGAATATATATTTTTTTCTCTTAAAAAACAGGTCAACATAATTTGGCAATTAGTATTAAAAGCTTTAAAACCAGGTCTATTTTTTGTTTCTGCAAGTTACGTCTGAGAATTCTAAAGAAGTAAGAAGGGCACAAAATATTTATCTAGCCGGGTTCAGTGGCTCAGCCTGTAATTCTGCGCCTTTGGGAGGCTGAGGTGAGTGGATTGCCTGAGCCCGCGGGTTCGAGACCCGCCTGGGCAGGCGAGACCTCATCTCTACAATAAAATCAAAAAATTAGCCGGGCATGGTAGCATGTGCCCGTAATTCCGGCTACTCAGAAGGTTGAGGCGGAAGGATCGCCGGAGCCCAGCAGGTTGAGGCTGTGGTGGCCGGGAGCAGCCACTGCACTCCAGTCTGGGTGACAGAGTGAGACTCCAACTCGGAAAAAAAAAAAAAAATTAATCTATAGCAGTGTTTCTAACGGGAAAAAAAATATAAAACCCTTGAGAAAAGCTAAATGTTCAAAAATTGAAGAACGATGGTATATTCATGACATAGAATACTATTCAATCATTAAGAAAATATAATGGAGAAAAATATTTATCAGCATGAAAAAATGCTCACAATCTGTTGCTAAATGCAAAAGGCAAATTATAAAACCCCAACAAAACAAAACAGAAAGCAATTCAACCAACTATGATTTTTTTCCTTGGGTAAGAAGTTTAAGGTAATTTAACTCCCTCCTCCCAATGTTCTTCATTGAATAGACATTATTTCTGGTAACCAAAAAAATTATTATTTAAAAATCAAATTAAGTTAACACATCTCTCTTCTGAATAGAAAAGTTCTCAATAACTTAGATACATACCGTAGCATCATCTGACCCGGAAGCAAAGGCATCTCCACTCGGGTAGTATCTGCAGAGAGAAAGTATGGGTAGAAAGCATTTCATCTGCAGTGATTCCCAACCCTGGACGCTCATGAGAACCATCTGGGGAGGTTGTCTAATGCTAGGTCCTTGGAATCAGAATCTCTATTTCTAGGGACTCAAGGAACATCTGCAGAAGCCTGCAGGGAAAGGCTCAGATGGCAGGCCCACTGGCCTCCAGTTTTCTTCCCTGTAACTAGGGGACAGTGACAGTGGCCTTTCAGAGTGCTGGTAAGGAGTTAGATGATATACATTTACATCAGGCATAGAACACAGAGCAGGCTCCCTGTGAGTGTAATTTCCCTTGATCACATACTTAATTCCAAAGACTTGACTTAGAGCTCGGGGATAAGAGAGTGGTTATGAACCCCGACACTGGAATTAGTTGCATTGAGTCACATTTGGATGTCTGCATTGACCACTTTTTACATGCGATACTTTTTCGCAAATGACGTCTTGCCCAGCCTCAGTTTCCTCATCTGAAAAATGAGGCTAATAATGCACATTCTCTGATGTGATGAACATTAAAATAAGATAGCACATTTATAATAATAATAAAAAAAACAGTAGATGTGAAGAACTTAGTGAGTGCCAAATAAAAAGCATTGTATAAATGATTCTTTTGTTTGTTTCTGAGTCAGAGTTTTACTCTGTTGCCCAGGTTGGAGTGCAATGGTGTGATCACGGCTCACTGCAGCCTTGACCTCCTGGGCTCAGGTGAACCTTCTGCCTCAGCCTCTCAAGTAGCTGGGACTACAGGCACATGTCACCGTCCCCAGCTCATTTTTAAATTTTTGACAGAGACAAGGTCTTGCTATGTTGCCCAGGCTGGTCTCGAACTTCTAGCCTCAAGCAATCCTCCTGCCTCAGCCTCCCAAAGTGCTGGGATTACAGGCATGAGCCACTGTGCCTAGTCCATAAATTATTATTACTGCTATAGTCATTCTTTTCTCAATGATCATAGGAAATATGGGCACTAGTTATAAACCAGAGGCAGAATTAGAACAAAGGTCTTTAGACCCCTCCACTCTGCCCACACCCAGCTGTGTTCCCCACACCTTCCACTGTTTCTTCTTTCTTGTACAAGTGACTTACCCTACAGCTCCACAAAAGCTGGAGGAGGAGGAAGCCTTTTAAAACAGCTTATGAAATTACTTCTCCTATCTAGAGTAGGTGACAGTCAAAACATCTGGCAAAGGAAGGGATGCTTGATTTTGTGTGGCTAATTTACCCTGGTCTAAAAGAAGGGGATGGAAGGCAGAAAGTAGTATCCATCTACTCCCCTCCCATTGCTGGGGTTAAATATAAGCAGGATTTTTTTTTTTGAATGCCACCAAAGCCCAGAGGTGCTACTGGAATTCAGTGGCTGGGGCAGTAAAGGACGCTACATGTCTTAAAAATAAGTCCTTTACCACTGAGATACCACCTAACTCCAGTCAGAATGGCAATTATCAACAACTCAAAAAATAACAGCTGCTGGAGAGGGTGTGGTGAAAAGGGAACACTTCTACACTGTTGGTGGGAGTGTAAACTAGTGCAACCTCTGTGGAAAGCAGTGTGGAGATTCCTAAAAGCTCTAAATATCAACCTCCCATACGACCCCGCAATCCCCCTACTGGGAATATATCCTGAAGAACTCAAATCACTATAAAAAATATACGTGCACATGTATGTTTATTGCAGCATCGTTCACAATAGCAAGAACCTGGAAGCAACCATGCTGCCCATCAAAAAAGGATTGGATTAAAAAAATGTGGTACATATACACGATGGAATACTACGCAGCCATAAAAAAGAACAAAATCATGAATTTCACAGCAACC